CTCAATCCACAATAAAAACCTTAAATTAAAAAACAGGGATACCAAAAAAAACAGACAAGATGATTGCTATCAAGTTGATTCCAATTCATAGTAATCCTACAAAAACAAAAAAGAAGAAGACAAAAACTTCACTGCCATGGAATCGATTCTGACTCACAGCGACCATATATAGGATTTCTGAGACTGGTAATCTTTACAGACTCATCTTTATCCCAGAAATGGCAGGTGGGTTTGAACCACCAACCTTGCAGTTAGCAGAAAATCCCTAACCCACAGTGTCAGTAGGGCTCCTTTAGTAATCCTATTTTGTTGTTGTTACATAGTTGTGCAGTTGGTTCCATCAGATGCTCACTAAAGAACTGAAGCCTAAATTTTGAATTAAAAGCAGAAGATTGCTATCAAAGGGCACTGTGATCTTGCATGACAATGCATGCCCACACAACTCTGTACACACTTGTTGGCACTCCGTTAAAGCATCCTCTCTTATAGTTCTGATCTTGCTCCATTGAATTTTCACATGCATGGTGCCCTGAAAGCAGCCCTTCAAGGACAAAGAGTCACATTTGATGAAGAAGTGAAGACAGTGGTGCATTCATGGCTCACAACTCAGTCTAAAACATTTTTTAATAAGGGAATATGAAAGCTTGTTGATAGATGGACAAAGTACACTGTAAAACAAGGAGATTATGTCAAAAAATCATATATTTGTATTTTCTAAAAGTTGATTAAAACAAATTCTATAGCAAGAGTGCAGATAATTTTTTAATCACCCTCATATGAATACAGAAAACAGAACCTTGCCAATTATACCAGGTTGCTAAGAATTGAAATCAATTCAATGGAACTTAACAATAAAACAAATATATAGTTTATACTTTACTTAATTTCAAATTTTTCTTCAAATTGACCCACTGTTTATATGTACTCATCCCCAACTGTAAACCATTCCATATTAAAAATGAGTACATTACAAAAGCAGCTTTGAGTCGGGCTGCTAACCAGCAGCTCCGCAAAAGAAAGATGAGGCTTTCTGCTCCGGGAAAGATTTACAGCCTCGGAAACCCTAAGCTGGGTCACTAGTAGAAGTCAGCGACTCCACTGCACACCACCACCACAATCACCATCACATAGCTATTAACCTGTTTAAATTATGTCCTAAAATAACTTACATATACCATCAATGTTATGCTTTTGTTTATCTACCTTTATTAGGTAAATTTATGCCCTGATAACTCAGTGGTTAAGCATTGGGCTACTAACCACAAGGTCAGCAATTCAAATCCAGTAGCTCCCCAGGAAAAAGATGAGGCTTTCTGCTCCTGTAAAGATTCACAACCTCAGACAGACACCCTATACAGGGTCGCTAAGACTCAGAACAATCTCCATGGCACACAATCACCACCAACAACCATATTCCCTATCATACTAAACTATGAATACTGGAATATATTCTGAGGTAAAGTAATTCTCAGACTACTTTTCTACTTTGTAA